AAATCTACAGGAAATGTTTCCAGTTGTTATCTTTGTTAGTTTGTCAAAAAAGATCCAACATAACCATCCTGTAAAGGTTTATTATTATAACTCAGGCTAAGATTCCTACATGACTGTGAGTCTACTGTTTTGTATTATTATATTGTAAAAACAAAAAAAAAGAAGGAATAAAATAAAGCTAATATGCAAACAGACAAAAACTATAAACAATAATTCAAATGTGTAGAATGCAGAACGCCGGTGTATAGCAGAATCTAAAAATGTATCATATCAACTCATGTCAAATGAGGGGTCTGTGTTGTGCTAGGCATGATCGACTACATCTGAATCCAACAAAAAGATCTCACATTTGTATCACGATGTCAAAGTGTTTGCAGTCTAACCTCTTCTTTGGAGTTAGGCTCAGGTGTGCAGTGTGAATATTCCTCCAGTGCTATTTCAGCTAAGGTCATCTTCTCGCAGGCCAAAGCCTGCAGCGTCTCCTCGGCACAGCGCTCCTCTTGCATGGACAGGCAGAATTCAACCAGGGCCAGCCGCAGGCCAAGCAGCCTCCGCGCGGCTGCCAGTGACAGTCCATGTCTCTGGCAGGGATGAAAACAGCACCAGTGTAAAAACACATGATACAAATACAAGAAGCAGATTATAACAGAACTCTAACATACACAAACATATTCTTTATATGTTGTTGTGTATGAGGCAGAACTCAAGAAATGTTATACTTCAAGAAAGTGTTATAGTAAGCGTAAGTGGGCAGTCTATGGTTTTTAAGATAAAACTCCAAACAACCTAGTGACATCACATGCTGTGTTCACACAAGAACACTAACTTCTTAAATCCAGCTTGACAGACAGTGTTAAATAGATGACAGCTTTTTAGAGAAGGGCTCCATGATGTAAATTAGCCTTAATGCAATTAGTGTTTCATTTCCACGTATCAGCTGACAAATATTCTCTCTGGTCTGTTTGGGTATACGAGTGGGCTGTGCTGATGAGTTCAGAGAAGATCTTAGATACAAAGTTGGATCAGATATTCTGAGATGTGGATATCAAGAAACTTGGGCAGCAGTTTGAAGGTGAAAACCCAGATTTAAATAGCACAGAATTAAAAAACGGGTGTACCCAGATTATAAATATGAATAAATGAGCATGACTTCAGAGGTTACAACTATTTTCAATGTAGGGTGGCAAAACTCATCCAGTATTGGGCAGCAGCACCACCTACTGAAAGCACAGTGCTACGGCATAGCTTTCAGCCTCCAACAGCTAAGTCAAACATCCATAGCAGATTTAATCAAAAAACGAATTGAACAAGGATTTGCGGCAGGTGTGGGAACTGTTGGATCGATCTCTCTTTTGTGATTCTATCAGAGCTGCATCCATCGTTATGCCAGTTCATCTCTGCCCCTGAAGCCCTCATATAACCTCATCTGTATGAGAGTGTGAGGGCTACACTGAGGCGGGCCACTGAGGCAGGTTAAAAAATGATTATGTTTAACTGTGAACTACTTAAGAAGATTTACATGAATGAATATGGAGGTATATAAAGAAAACAGAGATACACTAATAATTAGCTATCATACAACAAGGAAGCCCAGAATATGACAGTGACACAGTAATACAAGCTTAATTGTGATTCGGTCAAGCAAAGAGCACAAACAAAGCCTGTTACTTAGATGTTCCAGAGTAAATTCCCTTCCTCATTCCAAATAAGCTCAAAACTTCTCTAAATAAAAACAAAAATTGAAAGAACTTCACCATCTGCACAACAATCTCAGCCAGAGTGCTTGGCTGTTAAACTCTGACTGTTATAGCCAAACAAATGTACTATCACAGTTGCTCAAAGTCCTTTTTCAGCCTTATTTTCTGCTGCTTCAAACATGAGCAGACTTTCTGTGACTGGCTGAAAGCACAGATAGGAAAAGAAGTTTCTAAGAACATGTAAGAGGTTAAAAAGCTCACAATGTTTTTTGCAGAAAACATCATGACAATGACAGATGACAGATTTACCTCTTCCTGTGGGGGGAGCAGACTCTCAGCATTTTGTACTGCATGTTCCTGCACCGTGACAGCAAGCTGCAACTGAGAGAGCCCATTCATCAGGAAGCTCTGTTTCGACTCTCTTTCAGTAGTATGATTGGCTAGGATTCTGTAATAGTTGTAATAGGATAAAAAACGAATGATAGTAGAAGATAAAAAGCACACCAAGACAGAAAAAACAGGTGTAATTCCAATCTGTCCCCTACATCCTCCCACTCGGTAATGAGTCTAACTCTGTGTGGGATCACACTTGCAGCTCCTGAAGGGCTTCTTAAATAAAACAAATTCGGGTGTATGCTTTTTTCAACATAAACTTTAACTACCAATCAGCAGCTGCAGCATTGTACACTCTAATAGATGGAAAATGCACCTACAGTTAGAGCATTTCATTTGTTGAATAAAGACAGTTTTTGTTTAGCCTCTGTCTGTTGGTTTGTATTTAATACTTGGATGAAGTCAGTGACTGAAGTCTAGAACCCACAAGCATTACTTGAATTAAAGCTGAAAGTCCCCATTTCAATCACATCTTTGTAGTTTTAAAATACACTGCAGCAGTGTACAGAGGCAAAACTACAAAAATGGTCCAATAATAATGGGCCTCACGTGATTCCATTTTATGATACACTTCTTATGATTATTTTCTTCTTTATTGTTTGTTATTCTTAGAACCTTCAAAACTATAAATATTTTTTATCAAAAATTTAAAACATTAAAGTCCATCCATCCACTTATCAGGGTCGTGGAGGGGGTGCTGGAGCCTATCCCAGTTATTACAGGGCAAGAGGTAAGGTACACCCTGGACAAGTCACCAGTCTGTCATAGGGCTGAAATTCACATAGGCAATTTTGAATCATCACTTAACCACATGTCTTTGGACATGTAGGAAGAAGCTAGAGTACCCAGAGTAAACATGCAAACTCCAAATCAGACCTGATGGTGGAGTTGAACTCAGAACCTTCTTGATTGTTAGTCACAGTGCTAACGATTACACCACTGTACTGCATCGTCACCACCAAATTCTTTTCTTTTGTTTTGGATTTTTAGAAAGACAAAGTTTTGAACAGTACCCAAGTAGAAAACTATTTGAGTGTGCGCAGGGAGAGAGTGTACCAGCTGGATTTGGGCAAAAGTTTGTCTGTGTGAGAAAACAAGACTGAATGAAAACAAGCACGGGGAAACAGAGTTACACTTTAATTTGCTGTAGTGAAAACTGCACTTCCATACTGCACATAGCATGGTTTAAAACTGTTCCAATTTTAAATACTGTTCAATTTAGGCCTGGTGTAACTGTTTACTAACCTCAAACCATGTGCACACTCTCCATGTGCCTCTACTGCTTGTTGTCTATAGCCGAGTTTAGTAAAGCCACTGGCGCTCTCTCTGAGTGTATTACAGGCAGTCATTAGCCTCTGGAAAGCCTCAGTGTGGAGTGTCTCCAAAGGTTCCCCACTACCAATGGCACGTATACATTCCAAGGCTCCTCTGAAAAGCAACACATCACACTGAGTTAGATAAAGATTACATCAAATACGTAATTGATGTCGACATTGCTACATAATCAGTGTTGTCAGTTTCTTTAAACATTTATAACATAATTTGAAACAGATGTTCAAATGAATTACACTGAATGCACATCATGTAAAGCAACTAGAATAGTTTCCAACATGCAAAGTAGATCTTATTTCTTAAAGTTTAAGCCAAAGTCTGTAGTGAAGGCACATTGCGACATTCTGTAAATGGCTTAAACAGTACTTAAAAATACAATATATATTATACAGCTAAATAAACCTTAGACTTAAAACAATACAATAGTTGTTTGGGACAAAGCATCAGTGTGTTCCAGATATATCTGCAAATGGTAGATAAATGGTAAATAAACTGTTAATTATATAGTGCTTTTCTACTCTGAGTACTCAAATCACTTCTTTAATGCTTAGCACTATTCAAAGCTGTATAAGATATTTATAAAAATATTCATCTGTGGTTAAATATAAAATTGATCTAAAATATTCATTGAGCATGAGTGTTTCATTTTCACTTAAGATCAAAAGTAAAGTTCAGAAATGAAAACAAATCTTAAGAAAACAACAAACATTTATAATATAGTCAGCTTAACTAAGAAAAACTAAACACTATTAACATCTAAGTAGAAAGCTTCATGTTTACCTCATCTCCAATGAGGTGATCAAGAATGTGAGCGCTGGGGCTTGGTTTACCCGCTGCTCAAGTACTAGCTTCAGAGCTCTACAGCCTTGTTTTATAGTCTGATCAACCTATAAAAGAAAAAAAAAAGCTTTGAGAGAAAATTTCTACAAACACAACACTGTGCAAAGACTTATTAGAAGGTTGTAATTGGATACCTTTGTTTGAAAATTGTTGTCTCTCTGGCCTACCACAGCTGTGACTTTGGTAAGGGTAAGCTGGTACCAGAAGTCCTCATCCCCACCCAGGGTTTGGGCTTTGTCCAGCAGAGTCAGAGCCTGGGCGTAGTTCTGCTCTTTACAAGCCAAACTGGCCAGATAGATCAAACTTCTTGATATAACACTTTGGTCTCCAAGCACCTCAACAGAAACAGTTTGAATCAGAAATTAAATCAATTATAGAAGAGTCAAAGCAACCAAATGCAATTTGGCTCTGAAGTAATTCTAGTCTAGACATCATCATAATTTTTGTAATTCAGTTTGTATAGTGTTAAAGACTACATATCATTTCCAAACTGTAATCACAATACATCTTTCTGCAGCAAATTTCAGTAATCTTATTACAGTTACACAATTAAGATGATACTTGAATTGCAACATAGCACAGGCTCCAGTGGCGCAATCGGTTAGCGCGCGGTACTTATATGACAGTGCACTGTAGAGCAATGCCGAGGTTGTGAGTTCGAGCCTCACCTGGAGCAGCCTTTTAAATTCCTGTTGTTAACCATACAAAGCAACAGAGGGTGAAGTAGAGAGATGATAGCACCGGAAAAAAGAAGAAGTGAAAGATCCTAAGCCTTTAGTTAACATGCAGCGACCAGGCAAGGCGGAATTAGAAGATGATGGAGCCACCAGGGAAGAGGAAGGACGACATGCTGAGAGGTTGGTTTGACAGACAAAGGATAGGGTGAGATTGAGTCCACTGTAGTGACTCCTAAATTGAGCAACTCCAAGAAGTAGAACATTCACGTTGCCATCAGCTGCCTTCAGTTTCTGAGGCAAGAGGGGAAAAACAGTGAAGCAGTCTATAACTATAACTATGAGAAGACAAATATCTAATGATAAAGTTAGAAGCCCACTGCTTCTAACAAGGGATCGACTCTTTCAAAGACAGCATTAAAAGACAGAGGCAGCAGTGAAGAATCCCGGTCGATGTGATATTAGAGATAAATGTCAGGCAGCCAAAGGTAATGTACAACAGGCCATAACCAGGTGTTACAGTGGGATTTAGAAGGTTGGAGAAACCTAATGTCCAAACCTAAAATCACTTTGAAATAAAACTTGTGAAAATATGTATCGTGAGCTCCAGTAAATTTGTCTTCTTTGAGTTATCAGTTGACCTTTACTGCTGCTGCTCTAAACATTAGAGATGCAGCAGTTTTTTAACTGAATTTAACAAAATAAAAGGAGACAGAGCTGTTTAAACTGATGTCTGCTACTCTTGATGTAACCCAACACTGACCATGAACACCACAGTCTGCCCTGCACTAGTCCAGCATAGTGCATTACTGTAAACTTCATCATAAGATTGAAAACTATCCAGTTTAGCCTGCACTCATCTGCCAAGCATTCTTATGCAACCTCTAACTAATACAAACTATTATACTTTAATTGGGTTTTCAAGTCTTTCACAATGAGAAAAAACATAACCTCTGAAGATGAAAATCTGTGATCAGCGGATTTTTAAAACTTATATATAACTTATTATTAAAAGCTATTATTAAATGCTTCAGCATTGTTCCAGATTGCTGTGGCCCATGCTAACCCCTGGCAGTACAGCAGAATTGCTGCGTCAATATCATTTTTCTGTGAAGTGTTATTTAGCCTGGTTTCCAACAACACTGCTATCAACTTCAATACTAAAAGAAAATCCTCTCTATGTCCTCCTTAGTAGTTTATGGATTTGTGCCAGCATGTTAGCATGTAGCCTGTAGTTTTATTGTTGTGCCAGTGCATATTAGTCTATGCTGCAGGGTAATGGGTAGTGAAATACTTTACTTAGAATATCCTGGATGTAAAGTAACTTCATAGCTTGAATACTGTGTCTCGTGTTAGTTGAGGGTATTTTCTTGTCATAGTTGAGTCTATTAGAATAAATGTTCTTTCTGATAGTGGCGACAAAGAGTAGATCAGCAATATGTTTGTTAGAATGATAAATAAAGCTTAGGGTAATATTTTCAAATATTTCCTTCCTAATCTTACCATAGACACCATGTGGGCCTCAGCCAGGAGTTGTCTGGCTGACTCATAGAGTCCCACACTGAGGCAAACCTCAGCTTTGTCCAGCCAAATGTCCGGCGCACTCTCACCCATCTCTCCTTTCTGCCAAAGTATTCACCAAAGTATAAGACGATAAGGTTTTTTTTAATAAACTGAATCAAACTCTTTCTCAAGCTTTCAGTTGACAACATGTTGCATACACATGAGATATCAAGAAGAAGATTACACATTACACATAGCACATCTAGTGTATGTGTAATATTTAATGTGGATGTAACATTACGTAACTAAATGTATGTAACATGTAAAAATCATTACATGTCCTGCTGGGATCAGAGTCTTATAGTGTTTATCAGCTGTGATTACATAATCAACATTATTAACAAGCTGAGATTATAGAGAATAACAGAGTTGGAAGAATGGGAAAAAAGTGATAACTATTTATAATTCTAGCCACAAAAATCATCATCTTAAACATCCAATATTAATCTGCCATAACTCTGTGCTATATTATAAAAGTACTAATTTAAATACCACAACTACTGGGGCTGTTGTCAATCATCCTCTGAGAAGCAATACAATGAATGCTAATTAAAGTATAATTTCTTTAACATGTAAACCATAAGCACAGATGCATCTGTTTTGTGAGAAGAAGCTGACCTGGTTGCGAGCTTTGCGGAGGCTGCTCCTCTCCTGCGAAAGCACTACGGCTCTGCGGCACCT